TTTTGTCACCAGCCTGAGTCAGTCCTTCAGCTAACCATGTTTTGCTTTGCCAGCGTGCCTTATCCTGTTATCTTGAGGTCATGCAGTAAAAAGAGCAGCTGACCTCATGTTTGGTGCTTTTAATTTGTCACTAACAGCTATTTTGAACCATGCAAACCATTGTGTTTCAACACAAACTGCACATTTGCTTTGTATATCTGGGTTAGGCCTCGGCTAGCCAGTCATAGACTGTTTTTGTGCGTATTGGTGTTGGTCAGTCTGCTGGATGGTCAGCCTCTGTGTGTGTGTGTGGGTCAGTCAGTGAAGGTAGGATTAGCTTGGTCCCATGACATAACCAGGCTAAGAGGATTGCTAGTGAGCCAAACAGCTCCTCCTCCCTCTTCTCGTCTTCCTTTCACCTCACACACTCCTTCACACTCTTAAGGTCTCTGTGTTTCTTCGTCTTCATCCTCGAACATTTGCTTTAAAGCAAAAAGATCTGAGGCACAACAAGACAGAGGGGGTGAGTTTTGGTCCATTTCTTTTTATATGTGTGTGTGTGTGTTTGAAGCTACGTTGATGCGATTTCCACTTTTTTTGACCTTTTCACTTTAGATGAAACAGTAGAATAACTCCACCAAACAGAAGCTAGTCTGAAGGTGACTTTGAGTGAGTGAATAATTGTGTATAAGCTTGTTTTCTCCTCCTTAAACTTCTGAGAGATATTCTCTGACTCTGGTTGCTCTCACACACATTGGCTGGATGCTTTACGAGCAGTTTGTCTATGTGTCAGGGTGGAGCGTTTGGCCGTGTGTCTCACTGTGTGTCAGTGAATCACTGTGGTTTACATCTTGTGAAAACAGGGTGTGGCTTCTTCTTGCTTGACTGTGTTATTTTGTCTCTGTGTGAGTGTGTGTGTGTGTGTGTATGTGTGTGAGTGTGTGTGTGTGTCAGCCTTACTTTGGGATTTGGAAGCGTGTCTCCGAGTTGGGGTGTAGCTGTTGGCGCTGTGTAATCATATCCAAAAGCGCTCACTCACTTACGCACACAAACGCACACCAGATGCTGTTTCTTGCCACAGGATGATGTAAAGATGACAGCGATGTGTGAAAGAGATCGGCGTGTAGTAGTTTTTAGAATTGTTATTCACTAATTACAGTGATTCATCTCTTTAATTTTTGACTACAACAATCCAGGATAAGTGAGTATTCCCTGTTTTCTTTAAAAAGTAGAGCAGACTTTGTCATTCTCTGACAAAAAAGGACAAACACATGAGCTCCAAGAGCAGCCTAGTAAAGTCAGTCGAGTAAAGACTAATTTCTATTTGATGGTTATATTTTATCGATTGTAGTGACATTTTTTACCTGTATTTGTGGTTCCTGGATGAGGATTTTAGTTGTGATATTTTCATCTACGCCACAAGGTTTTCAGTCTATCCATCATTACGTGTGTGCACAGCTGCAGAGAAAATCATGTAGAGTTTTATTTATGCCTCAAACTGCTCAGATTTTTTTACCACAGACTTTACCACAACAGATGTTTGATTTGGCACAGATTTATTGTTATATTTTTTAGCGCCATTCTGACGCAGCATTTTCATTTATCTGAATTTGGGACCCGCAATAGAAGATGACTGGCTTGTGAGGCTGGGTTTGTGTCTCCTTCTGGTCTCAAACTGGTAATCTTTTGTGTGTAAGGCATA